TCTTTACAATTTTGTTATTTCAATTTGAATAAAGTATCAATTTCTTAAAGAACTTTGACATAACTTTTTCTTTGTTAACCAGTTTTTGCAAGATCGTCAGAGAGTAAATGTGCCGCCTGAACCATTGAGGAGGACCATCTCAGGACCAATGTTGATCCACTGATATTAGTGTACATGGAAATTGAATGGAAAAAAAAAGTTAGGTACATAAAGAACATGGAAACACACCCACAAAAAAAAAAATATCTTTTGTTTGGACTTACTAGTACTATTTAGTATCGAAGAAATATTGATAACGAATATTTTTCATTTAATTACACGTTTCCTATTTAGCAATTGATTTTACTCTTAGTTGGGGACAAGTTCTGTGAAAGTGCATGATATATATGGTTCAAAAAATTTATCGAAAAGAGTTAAAAATATATTTGAACTATTATAAAAATATTTTTATTCATCTTTTGGTATGATATTTTAAGTTCACCTATATTTTTGAAACTAATAACACTTTCTTCATTTTTTAAAAATACTACATGTTATTTTCTTATTGGATTATCCACCTTTTTGGTTCACTTTGACGCAAAAATTTATATCGAGCAGAGCAAACTTAGTTCCTACATAATAAAAAATTCTCCAAACTTATATCAAGAGAATTAAATCATAGATAAAAGCACTTTGATCTGTAAATTTTATTTAATAATAAGCATAGACAAAAAACTAAGACCATCATATTTAAGAGCTAAGTTTAAAGATCATCATCCTCAATTCGTGAAAACACTCGATAACAAGAATGGGCTTGGATCAATCTGTATTGGGCCTTGCATCATCAAAAGTGGGCCGAAACTTGAGGAATTGACACAAAAGTACAACTGCTACATAAAATTAGCAATTTATAGCCCAACTTAATTTAGCAATTAATTGCCTAAATGGGAAAATTATATATAATAGCAAACTAATAACCTAAATTAAATGGAATAGCTAGGGTTTGATTTAATTGTGCTCCATAGCAAGCATTAGCTAAAATTTTCCAGCGTCTCTCTCCCAAAAATCTCGCTCGCCACTCTCCATTCTCGCTCGCCTCCCTCGCTTTATACACAGAAGTGTATAATTCTGTTTCTGTTTTGTATAAAGCGAGAGAAAATTATATATACACATGCAAAAATGTATATCTTCGTGTCATACACTTAATTATACAATTTACTAACATTTTACTTTAAATATTGCAGAGAAAAAGGCCAACGAATTATACAATTGCAGTGAAATACAAATTTCTCTAACTTTATACAACAGAAGTGTATATATTGTGTTTCTGTTTTTGTATAAAGCGAGAAAAACATATATATTCTTGTTATACACTTATAATTATGCAATATACATACATTTTAATTCCATTTTAATTCGATTCAACTGTATGTAAAACAAATTATACAATTGCAGCGAAATAGGCCATCGAATTATACAATTATATATGTATAACAAATTATACAGTTTTATGTTTGCTATGAAGCGCAATTATGCAAAGTTTGCTATAGCATAAAAATATGAATTTTTTGTTTGCTATATGTGAAAGTTGCCCAAAGATAATAGCATGTATTAGCCCAAAAGTAATCATCGGGCAACCAAATGGCAATAAATAGAAGACGTGGATTTATTTTTCTTATGTGGTTTTAATTCCTATAGCTACGAAAGTTAGCATTTCAGGTTTCCTTAAATTTCCAAACCCAACTCCATTATTAGTATATCTTAAAAGTAAATAAATATCATAGAGCAAATAAAAGCATTAAGATATAAGTGACACCTTTAATTGTTTTGATTCATTATAATGGAGAATGAGATAGTAATAATAATTTGTAAATTGTTTCATAGAAGTGGTGATTATCAATATCAACATGGATGTTGATTTCAAATCCTTTATTTGTTGATACTTCTACTAATTCTTTTGAATTTTATTATAAAATCGATCAATTTTTATTGCTATTGGTGTCAACACCACAAAATTAAAATTGTACTGACAGAATGTCAAGTTTACAATAATTTTTTCTCTGAAATATCTGTGATAAAAATATTTATTCTATTCGAATGATATTTCAATTTAAAGTGAAAATTTTTAATATGTCAATGTATTATCAATTAAAAAAACAATTATGAATACATAATGCATCCTCTAAAATAAATTTTATATATATATATATATGTACATACTTACGTAACGAGTTTATTAGGTAATGTATTCAATCAGTCCAATATGCATTCATAATGTTTCACTCAATGAATATTTATGAATACATCATAAATTTATGTATACTTTGTTGATTGTGTATACATAAGATATTGTGTATTCATTCAATTAGTTTTTGTATATAATTAAAAGTATGGTTAATTTCTGCTGCAATATATACACTTTTTAAAAAAGCTCATTTATGTCATCAATTAAAAGTTTAGCTCATTTATGTCGTTACCGTTAAAGAAAAGGCTCATTCATGTCATTATTTTTTAACAATGGTTTTAAAACCATTTTTGATACGTGACCAATTATAATTCAGCCACATCATCAATTTTTTAAATAAAAAAAATCATAATTCTGAATTATTTTTTTATTAAATAAATTGATGACGTGACCGAATTATAATTAGTCATGTGTCAAAATGATTTTGCTAAACCACCCTTAAAAAATAATGGCATGAATGAGCCTTTTCTTTAACGGTAATGACATCAATGAGCCAAACTTTTAACTAATGACATAAATATACCTTTTTTGAAAATTCAATGGCATATTTAAGCCTTTGCCCTTATATAAAATGAATACAATTTTGTACGTGTGCACTATTTTTCTACTCATAACAACACATCTTAAGATTTATTCTTAATTGGTTAACTGATAAGTTATATACAGACACTTCACCAAATCTCAGGCCATATAGTTAATTCTATAAAGTTTGTTTCCAATGGTACAAACAAGGAGCAACTTCACATATCACAATCAGAATTCGACAGTTGATTATTAAGTCGTTAAATATTAAAAATCAATATCTTAATGATTTACAATAGTTTAATATATCTACGAATTAATAATCAATAAGATCAATCGAGTAACATTCGAAATCAAATTAAACCACAAAATTAACACTCATACATCTAAAAGTTGGACAAATATGTAACCAAATAGATCGGTGAAATTTTTATCAAAATATATTTCAAAACAATATCCAATAAACAGCCATAACGAAAAAGACTCAAAAATATCCCTTGACTATTGGAAACAACTCATATTTATCCTACTATTTTTTGGCTCAACTCTACTCTTCCCATCAAACTATTAGGTCAAAAGTATTTTTTTTATTAACGAAAGTTGTTAAATGCCACGTGGATATCATATTGCATGCCACATAAGGCCCAACATTTCCCACTTCCATATCTAATTTTCCCCTCAATACGATTTCATTCATTTCCCCTAATTTTCCCCTCATTCTCCTTTTCCCTTAGAAACGATTTCACCTTACCCCTTTCCCCTCATTTCACGGTTAGGGTAAGAAATGATTTCACTTATTTATCAATTTCGAAGCTGACATAGATTCGAGATAATGTCAGAATCTTCACCTGAAAAATCGTATGCAAGAAGATTCATTGTTGTCTCAATGCTTTAAATTTGACGACTTGGATGATTTGAAATCGTTTTTAAGGGAGATGGAGAAACGAGGGGATGATTAGGGGAAATAGATGAAATCGTGTTTGGAAAGCAATGAGGGGAAAATTAGATTTTAGAGATTTTATTAGTGTACATGGCAGTGGAACCCTATTGGCATGCAATGTAGCATCTACATGACATTTAACAACTTTCGTTAATAAGATAATACTTTTGACCCAATAATTTGTCAGAAAGGGTAGATTTTATGCCGAAATATAGCTTGAGGATATAAATAAGCTATATCGGATAGTTTAAAGGTAATTTTTTACCATTTTTCCGTAACCATAATAAAGATCACAAAACTTATATTAGATGGTTATACATGTTATAAAAATTTAAACCTGGTAAGTAATAAACGTTCTGAATCATTAAACATTTTTAGCCAATTCTAATTCAAATAACAGTTAAGCAATTCAATAACTTATTCATTTTAATCCTTCAAATTAAATTTAACCCGCTTATTTTTACACTCTTAATTGTTATGGTTGCTAAATGATACTCATTCTATTCGCTTTTAATTGTTATTTACATTTTTTGAAAGTCAATTTGATTAATTTTCAAGTTAAATTAGATAATATTAATTTAATATTTAAATCAAAAAATTGAGATATTCAAAAATTATATAAAAAATATTATATATATTATTTTTTTTTGCATATTCATACAATAAAAAGATACATTATAAAATATTAGTTAAAATTATTATTATCTAATTCTAAAAAATAAAATTATGACAGATAAATATAGACGAAGAAAAATGAAATTACGACAATTAAAAGTGAACGAAGATAATATATAAATTTGGTTACTTTTCTCGAATTGGAAAAATAGTCAACCATACAACACTTCTCTTTTTCTTTCTAGAAGAGCTATATATTACCACACTATACAATTAGGGAAAAGAAAAAAAAGAAGAATATTGTAAATTATTTTCTACTATTATTAAACTATACATTCTTAAGCTGCCACGTGTGAGTCGTTCATTGTTCAACTGTGTGTATATGCAATAAATTCAACTCCTATATGCTGCTAAATATTAATTAAATATTTTAATAAACTTAAGTTGATAACTTAATTTAACTCACTTTGAATTAAGTGTTATCATAGTTGTAACAGATTTCGTATGATCTTATTGAAACAAATAACAACGGATAGTAATTAACAAGTAAATCTATGTTTTACCACAGTAAACATTTTTAATTTTCCCTTTTTATCCTTTTATCTAAGGATATTTTCATGGTTATAAAGTCTACAAACACGTGGCCTTTATGTCATTTTGTATCTTATAACTTGTGTCCTTCTTCATAGCAGTTAATATAGTACTACTACTACTGCTACACTTAATTTCTCTCTCTTTTCTTTCTTCTTCACTTCAATTTCTTTCTTTTCTTGGAACTGAAGTTGAAAAACTCAAAAATGGAACATCCATTCTTCATGAACGGCGCTGGAAATACGTCGAGAGCGGAGGCGATACGGTGGTTATCAATTGCCGAGAAGCTATTGACTAACCGTGACCTAGTTGGAAGCAAATCGTTTGCGACCCGTGCCCATGAATCCGACCCGACCCTTTTACCTGCCGACCAAATTCTTGCAATCGTTGACACCCTAATCGCCGGCGACAAGCGGATCAACAACCAGCATCTTGATTATTACTCTATTCTTCAAATTCCTTCCAACCAAACTCATGATTCTGAACTTATCGCTAATCAGTACCGACGTCTTGCGCTCCTATTGAACCCTCAGAAGAACAATTTCCCTTTCTCTGACCATGCTTTTCATCTTGTGGTTGATGCTTGGTCTGTTCTTTCAAACGCTTTTAGGAGAAGTGTTTATGATAAAGAAATTGGGTTTTTTCTTAACCTTAACCCTGTATCGTCTCCTCCACCTCCGACTAATAACCCAGTTGGTTTCATGCAGCAAAGTTCTATGATTTTTCAGAGTCAACCACAGTCGCATCCAGTGAGTTCTGTTCCGAGTTCTTCAAGCAGAGAGCGGCAGACTGTAACATTTCTTCAAGACCCACAACCCCAGCCAATGACTTCTGTGACTAGCTTGACTAGAGAGCAGCAACCTGTAACATTTCTGAGCAGAAATCAAACACAGCCAGTAAGCTCTACTATGCTAAGCCCGGACAGAGAACAACACCCGTTTACCTTTGGATCAAGTACCACAAGAGGGCAACAGCAAGTAGCTTTTGCAGAATCAACAAGAGGGCAGCAACAAGTTGCTTTTGCAGAGTCGACCAGAGGGCCACAACAAACAGCTTTTGCAGAGTCGACAAGAGGGCCACAGCAAGTAGCTTTTGTAGAGTCGACCAGAGGGCAACAGCAAGTAGCTTCTGTAGACTCGACAAGAGGGCAACATCGAGTAGCGTCTATGGAGTCGAGAAGAGAGCAACAAGAAGTAGTTTCTGTACATCAGCAAGGTAATAAGCAGGCACCACAAAGAAACGAGGGCTTGTTGGGGAACAATCAAAATTTCTCTGCTAGTACTAGTAGAAATGTGAACAATGAGGGTTTGTTTGGGAACAATCAAAATCACTCTGGTAAAAATGTGAACAATGCTGGTTTGTTTGGGAACAATCAGAATCACTCTGCTAGTATTAGTAAAAATGCGAACAATGCGGGTTTGTTTGGAAACAATCAGAATCACTCTGCTAGTATTAGTAAAAATGTGAACGATGAGGGTTTGTTTGGGAACAATCAAAATCAGTCTGCTAGTACCAATAGAAATGTGAACAATGAGGGTTTGTTTGGGAGCAATCAAAATCAGTCTGCTAATACTAGTCACAACAATGTTAACAATGAGGTTTTTTTTGGGAACAATCAAAATCATTCTGTTAGTAGTAGTAACAACAATGTCAGGGGAAAAGAGAGGGGTGCAGATGCGTCAAGTCCTGCTGTTCCTAGTTTCTGGACTGCATGTCCTTATTGTTATCTGATGTATGAGTATCCTTTAGAGTACGTGGATTGTACTTTGAGGTGTCAAAAGTGCAAGAGGGCATTTCAGGCTGTAAAGATTGCCTCGCCACCACCAATTATAGAGGGACAAGAAGCTTATTTCTGTTGTTGGGGATTTATGCCTTTAGGATTTTCCTTGGAGATCTTTAAGAAATACAAAGGCAATATTTCGAGCTGGACTCCGTTTGCACCCATGTTTAATAAACATGGAGGTGTAAGAAAGCCATCTGCTCCCAGAGTTTATATTGATGATTATGAGGATGTGTTTCTGGGATTATCAGAGTCGAGTGAGGAGTCAGATGAGGATTGGAAGGGTGATAATAAGATGAAGAAGGCAAAGAGTGGGAAACGAAAAAGTAAAAGGTTTAGGAGAAAGAAGGGCAAGATGCAGAAATCTGACAAGGGAAAGAATGTTGTAGGGAATGCTGGTGATGATGTGCAAGATGTTTCAGTGACTCAAGGGGGTGTAGAAGTGCCCAATGTTACAACAGCTCAATCAAGCAAGAGAGCTGGTAATGCCAGAAGGCAAGCTGGAAGGGTTACCAAAGATGTTGGGAAATTGGATTTGAATGTGGAATTCAGTAATGAGGTTGAAGAGCCCCCTGCACCTGGGGTAGGCCAAGGCAATGGAGCTGGAACAGGGGAGGATGGGAACATTGAAGGGATTGAGTTTTTTGAAGGTCTTGATGAATTCCTAAGCAGTCTTCCTATACTCAATGCTGTGGGTGATGATAAGGTTAAGGCTGCCTAGCAAAGTAAGGCATTTCTTTTGTTCTAGTTGTAGCTTCCTTTTGTCTTTTGTATGTTTTAGTAAGGGATGAAAAGCTACTCAGGCATTGGCCTTGATGTTTTCATTGTAATGCTAATGTATTGCTAGTTTGCATTGAAGTAATTGCAATAATCAGCTTTTAGCTCTAATCTCCATACTGCATCAGTAATCTTGGTTTTCTTATTGTATAGCTTAAATCATTTATCCTCAGTGTCCTATGTTTCTATCTTTTAAAAGATCACATAGGTTCTCAGAGGGCCTTGTTTGCCTGTTCTTGTTTTCCCTTCAGTTGTGCTATATAAGTTTTAACTTTATCTTGAACTCTGTTTTCTTGAAACCAAGTTTTTTTCTACTTTCTCAGGCAATTGGTTACTTTTATGTATCCTTGTTACTTGTTTGGAGCTAACTGCTAATAGATTCATATAGTTTTGATTTTTTCCCTTGTGAGAAATGATGCCAACATTTTTGAATCTTTTAGGATAAATTTTTGATATATGCTAAGCTTCCATTTAAATAAAAGGGACTCCTCTACCGCATACAATGTTACATGTTTTTATCCCATTTCTCTTTATACATGATTATAAGTCTTGGTTTTGGATCTTTTAAAAGCTTTGACAACAAAATGTTCAAGGAAAAAATTGGCCATGGAGACAGATCTGGAAAAACTAAGGCTCCATTCGAAGTGCAATGTCTCTTGGTTGGCAGCAAATGAGGTTTGTTTGAGACGTGACAATTTACAAGGAAGAGCTTCACATCACCAATAGAGGTGCTATCTTTTTTTTTTTTTTGGGTAAGGGAATCAAATCTTATTAGAATAGCATTACAAGAGAGAAAAAGAAGTTGCTTCAAACAAAACGTGAAGCAAACTTAGGCCTAAACCTGTAAAACAGCCAAAGAATTTCCTGAATATTCTACTAAGCTAAAGACATGGAGCTAACAAAATCTAAATTGTTATCCCCATTGTTAACTGGGGAAAGAAAGTGCGAACTGAATAACATTCTAAACATCTAGCCATGAGTGTGCTAGTAGGAGTTGAGATTCCATCAAAGCATCTGCTATTTCTCTCGTTCCAGGGACATCGAAAAACAACTGCTGGGATTATTCTCCACATTCTTTTGACGGTTATATCTACTCTCCACAGTGACCAACTTACATAGGCATCTTTCATGGAGAAGGGCATTACCCATTGGAGCCCAGATAAAGGGTAAAACAAATTCCATAAGCCAACTGCTTGCAGCGCAGTGCAAAAAGAGATGGTTTACAGTTTCATTATCCTGCTTGCACATGAAACATCTGTTGATGAGAATTATTCCTTTTCTCCTGAGATTGTCTTGTGTTATAGGCAAGCCTCTCTAAGGGCAGTCCAAGTGTAACAAGTGACTTTAAGAGGGAAGTAAATCTTACATATTCCCAAGAAGAAAGGTAACTTTTCTTCTGCAGCTGTTATATATTTTCTTGTTATTCAAACTCAGTCAGTAATTCACTTTAATTTCATAGCTTAGTGCTGAGGTTTCAACCTTCAATTTGAAGGGAAGTTTGTCATGCTTGTTTGTGTGGACTCTCGCATGTGTCCGTCAACTATGGAAGGTTTCCAATCAGGTGAAGCCTCTGCAATTCACAGTGTGGCAAGTCCAGTGCCTTCTTAATCCTTATGAAGAACAAGTAGCTGTTCCTAATATTTGCCTTTGTTCCTTGTTGATAATCATGTTTTGTATTGCCAAGGATGTATACATTCTGGGTTGCATTCTCAGTACATATATTTTGGTTCCTTTCTTTTGGTGCCGAAATGGTCCGTTGGTGACAAATTCAGATAGTCATTTTGGTGTTAATTCTTTTAAAATGAGTAAGTCTTGCCCCCATTTATCTTCCGACATGGTACTTTCTAGAACTTCCCCCTTTTTTTTTCAAGATTCTGCATTCCTGTCACCTTCATACAGTAACAATGTGCAGATCTTATATTCTTGGGAAAAGGGACGGATTTACCTCCGAATTTCAATAAATGGTACGTTTATGCTCTCCGTTATACTTTGCGTACACATATGCCCTTGCCGTCCAATTATAGTTACAAATATATCCCTCTCACTAACGGATCCCTATTTTTTTACACGTGTCTTAATCCTATGAAACTACCCATTTGACCACTTTTTTTTAACCCATAGCCAAAATATCCGCCCCATAACCCACTCAATACACACTAAAAGAAATCCTAATTAGGACACCAATATTAACATTCACCCAAATATCTCACACACCAACAATTTTTGCAACGGACTCGTTTATTGCTGGTGTGGATTCATATATACAACTTTAGAGTGGATAATGATTGAGCTTTTGAGGAATCCAAGAGCCATGGAGAAATTATAGACTGAAGTGCGAGGATTAGCCCAAGGGAAAGTAGAGATAACATAGGACGACTTAGGAAATCTGCAGTATTTCAAAGCAGTAATCGAAGAGAGTGTTAGGCTTAATCCACCGTTTCCAATACCAGTTCCTCGAGAATCAATGGAAGACGTAAAATTACTAGACTATGACATACCTGCTAAAACTCAAGTCCTTATTAATGTTTGGGCAATTGGAAGAGACCCATTATCATGGGATGAACCAGAGGTGTACCGGCCTAAGAGATTCTTGAATAGTGATATTGATTTCAGAGGACTAAACTTTGAGTTGATTCCGTTCGAAGCTGGCAGGAGGGGTTGCTCAGGAATTCCTTTTGCTATTGTGATAATTGAGCTAGCATAAGCAAGGCTTGTGAACGAATTCAATTTTGCATTACCACAAGGAATGAAAAAGAGGATTTGGATATGAGTGTAAATGCACTGGCATCTCCATTCGCAGGAAATTGCCTTTACTAGCAGTGGCAACTCCGTGCGGTATTTAGTTTTTTTTTCTCCTTCCATTTCTTATTATGTCATATAAAGTACTGAACTACTAATAATTCTAAACCAATTGGAAAGGGCACTGCAAGAGATACTTGGCTGAATGTTAATTTGGGTATTCTAATTAAGATTCCTTTAGTGTGTATTGGGTAAGTTATGGGTTATGGGGCGGATATTTGGGTTACGGGTTTAAAAAAAAGGTCAAACGGGTAGTTTAATAGGATTAAGACACGTGTAAAAAAATAGAAATCCGTTAGTGAGAGGGGTATATTTGTACCTATAATTGGGCGGTAGGGCATATGTGTATGCAAAGTATAAAGGAGGGCATAGACGTACCATTTATTAAAGTTCGGGGTAAATCCGTCCCTTTTCCCTATATTCTTTAATTGTTTAGGAGAATGGAATTTGGTACAACATGTAATTTCTCAATCAGTATTTAGCATGATGTTGCTACTAGATTATTTGGAGATCTATAAATGAATTATGGATTGGAATTTGTTGATATCCAAAATCACGGTAAGAACTTGTGAAATGGATTTACATCGGAAATTGGAAATTTTTTGACGATAATTGACTTTTATTCATTAACAATGAGGTTGCATGAGGTTCCTATTCAAATTCTCTTTTTATATACTTTCTTCTCTTTGCTTTCCTTGTTTCTTTGTCTGAGCTCTTGTTTTGGAGATGGTGGTCGGGTAGTGAATTGTCGTGTTTGGTTCATTTTTCCATCTAAAATGACCGTTAAAGGATTTTTCAACTTTACTTTCATTTCTATGCAGGTAGAGAACACACTTGTCATTGGTCGCAGGAGCTGTGTAGGCATTTATGACTTAATGAGCATGGTAGATGATGCAATTTGAAGGTTGGCTAGATCTTTCTTCTATTTATGTGTTTGCAAGTGACGTCCCCACAATGATTGTGTGCTAAGTCAGATATAAACTCAGTTTTGTTCTGATAAGTTCTTATATTACTTCCAACTTGGTTCAGTTGGAGTTGGTGTAATGGGAAAGTCTAAAGTTACTAAAGTTGCTGTTTCCAGCCTCAATTTTAGCCTGCGATACAACCTCTATGAGAAGTTATAATCTGCTTATCATTCCATTTATGTTGCAGTGATACGGAATCCACTTTTTCTTTTTTTAATAACAAATAAATTCCGGAGGGTCGGTTTAAACTGAATGCACACAAGGAATAACCACCAAAATCTCAGGTGGAGATAAAAGCAGTTCTTTTCCATTAGGACCATAAAATTCCCAGGGATGTTTATGTACTTTGATTGGTTAAAACTTCAAAATGATATGGCTGCCGTTCTTTCATATGTTCAGAGTTCAGTGGCAATATGTTCAGGGTTCAGTAGCAAGTATTTCTTTTCTCTGTTTGGTTTAACTTTGAAAAGAAAATTGTAAGTGGCTATGGTTAGTTTCAGAATAACATATTTTACTCTATGTAGGGCCGATATGGTTTAAATGGAAGATGCTGGTATAAGTGTCATGGACAAATGCAGTTGTAGTAAACAGGATTGAACATTTTGTGTTGCATGCTTTAATGTGGTTTGGTAGTTGAAATGACTGCATGGAATAGGCACATGAGGATACTAGTTCAGAAAGAATATGAGTATTCGACCAAAAAGTTTAAGCTGATGGGTGGAGTGGTCTAGGACATTATAAACATTTCTGTAAATCCTTACACATACAACGAGTGACGAGTATATTTAACACAATCCTGCGTATGTAGCCTGGTTATATGGTTTACCAGTTGACTGATTTGTATTTTATTTTTTGCTGCTATTTGTACTTTCTTTTTTCCATGAAGGCTGAAGAGTGGATATGAAGCAGAGTGAAGGAAGAGAGAAGCCTAGTGTGGCATGGCGTGATGATGGTCCGTAGAAGGATATTTGTCCTAAGCGTAGAGTAGATAGAGAAAAACAGTTGTGAAGACTGATTTACCGAAAATTTGAATATGGACACCATATGAGTGAATATGTCTCCAACACAAAACTTTAAGGCAATGGACGGAGGCATTAAACACTTATCTATTTGATTATATCATCAACAGTTCTTTTATATGATATTTTTTTTCAGCTATTGACTTCATTTCATTTCTTGGAGGATTGTATAATACTGTTCAACATGTTTCACTTGCAGTGCTCCACCATTATTATGTACTATGTAGAATAGGATAGCAGAGAATTATGTGTTCCAAGTTAGTTTATGATCTGTAAACTCAGACAATTTTCTGTTTTAGATTCAGTAGACTTGAAAGTTGAAGGGTCACTCTTTTGCCTACCTCTGTTTTTATTTGTAGAGAAAATATCAAGGACGAAATGACTATGATCGAGAAAGGAAGTTATTTTGTATTACAATCTGATAACTAGTTTAGAGATGAAATCACATATACTAAGAATTTTTATGAGGTTGCCAGCCTAACCTATATGCCTGTGACAGGTTTACACTATTGTTCAATTTAGGTCATCTACATTGACTTTTGACGTACCGTACCAAACTATAAGCTAATTAGTTTGATGAGAAATTCAACTACTCAGATCACAAAATCCTAAAAGTCCTAGTAATGGCATTCTTAAACCTATATAAAGCAACAGAGTTGAAGCCAATGCCACATCCACTCTTACACGCATTTTCTTTTAGCTTTTCTAACATTTGCTGAAAAATGGCTCAACATTACCACGTATCATCTCTCTTACTGCTTGCATTTCTCAATATATTCTTCATTCATGGCAACATAAGTGGTGCAACTGCACGCCATCTCCTCGAGACACCCGTTCCTGAGATACCTAAACCACAACTCCCAAAAGTTCCAGCAATCCCAACTGTGCCGAAGCCTGAGCTTCCAGCCATACCAAAGCCTGAGCTACCAACTCTTTCGAAGCCCCAGTTACCAACTTTGCCAAAGCCTAAGATGCCTGAGATCCCTACCATGCCAAAATCTGAGCTTCCTAGTATGCCAAAACTAGAGATTCCTCCCTTGAAAAAGTCAGAAATCCCCGCAGTGCCCAAGACTGAGGTTCCTCCTGTTATGAAAAAGCCTGAAGTTCCAACTCTACCAAAGCCCGAGCTACCAAGTCTGCCAAAGCCAGAAATCCCAGAACTACCAAAGCCAAAAGTCCCAGAGCTTCCAAAGCTAAAAATCCCAACAATGCCAAAGCCTGAAGTACCTACTATGCCAAAGCATGAAATCCCAAAACCAAAAGTCCAAGAGCTTCCAAAGCCTGAAATACCAACTACGCCAAAGCCCGAAATACCAGAACTACCAAAGACAAAAGTTCCAGAACTTCCGAAACCAGAAGTACCAACAATGCCAAAGCCAGAAATTCCAGAATTACCAAAACCAAAAGCCCCAGAGCTTCCAAAGCTAAAAGTCCCAACAATGCCAAAGCCTGAAATCCCAGAACTACCAAAGCCTAAAGTTCCAGAGCTTCCAAAGCCTGACGTACCAACTATGCCAAAGCATGAAATTCCGGAACTACCAAAGCCAAGAGTCCCAGAGCTTCCAAAGCCTGAAGTACCAACTACGCCAAAGCCTGAAATCCCTGAACCATCAAAGCCAAAATCCCTAGAGCTTCCAAAGCTAAAAATTCCAACAATGCCAAAACCTGAAATCCCAGAACTGCCAAAGCCTAAAGTTCCAGAGCTTCCAAAGCCTGAAATCCCAAAACTTCCTAAGCCAGAAGTACCAACAATGCCCAAGCTTGAAATTCCAGAACTACCAAAGCCAAAAATCCCAGAGCTTCCAAAGCTAAAAGTCCCAACTATGCCAAAGCCTGAAATTCCAGAACTTCCTAAACCAACTCTTCCTTCACTTTCTCCACCATACAAACCCGCTACTCCTTGAGTAAATTATATGCTACTTTCACTCTAGTAGGAGGTACCCGACTGATATTTTGCGATTTCCATCTGAATCTATGAAGCTTGCGACCTGAGCTGTGACATGGAGATAGTATTGGATACTTTCTGCTAGGAGTAGAAATTTTAATTCTTTTATAATAGTATTTGAATTGGATGTACCATGTTTGATATGTCATTATGAGTATTTTATTACTTTCTATATATACAGTATGTGTAACAGAGCTCTGATCTAATGTTACTTTGGTTTAGTTCAGGCTAATGTTTCAAAAGTTCACACAAATTTTAAAATTTATCTAGTAAAATCATCCAACTTTTGTTTTGTATTAGTAAAAATCATTATAACTTATGCATTTATTATATTAATAAGAATTTTATCATAAATTAAATATGTCCCATAACTTTTATCGATCCACATACAACTAGATCCAAATTTATTCACAATACTACCCATTAACTCAATTAAAAAACTATTTTTTGTTGCATTCCAAATGGTTCGTGAGCATGGGCCAATGTCCATGGGATCAAACCCCTTCAGTGGGCAAGTTTATTAGCTACTGCCAGCTCTGTCAATGCAGATTGTTGTTTGTTATCTTTCTTTAGATCCACTCGATCCCCACTTTCTGTCAGGGCTATGGACGATAAACATCTAAACAGAGACAAGTTAAAGATCACCATAACAGATCGTGTGATAGATTATATTATAAAAAATAATAGGGTAACTTTCACATATAGCAAACAAAAAAATTATATTTGTATAATATAGCAAACTTTGCATAATTGCGCTCCATAGCAAATATAAAAACTGTATAATTCGCTATATATATAAAAGTGTATAATTCGCTGGCCTAAATTGTATAATTCGCTGGCCTATTTCGCTGCAATTGTATAATTAGCTTTGCATACAGTTGAATCGAATTAAAATGTATGTATATTGCATAATTATAAGTGTATAGCAAGAAGATATATGTTTTTCTCGCTTTATACAAAAACAGAAACACAATATATACACTTTTGTTGTATAAAGCTAGAAAAAATTGTATTTCACTGCAATTGTATAATTCACAATTGTATAATTCTTTGGCCTTTTTCTCTGCAATATTTGAAGTAAAATGTTTGTAAATTATATAATTAAGTGTATAACACGAAGATATATACATTTTGCATGTGTATATACAATTTTCTCTCGCTTTATACAAAACAGAAACAGAAATTATACACTTTCTGTGTATAAAGCGAGAAAGGCGAGAATGGGAGAGTGGCGAGCGAGACTTCTGGGAGAGAGACACCTGGCAAATTTTTGTCAATATTTGCTATGGAGCACAATTAAATCAAACCTTAGCTATTCAATTTAATTTAGGTTATTAATTTGCTATTTTATACAATTTTCCCAAAATAATACATGAATTAGCCTTGTCTCTAACTAATGCTTGAGGTCATTTTATTATATTCTCTCGACTTTGAGGAATGTTGGAGAACTGAAAAAGCTCCTTACTGCTGTTTTTTTCTCAAACAATAATCCTATTCAATTATCTAGAAAGGCTTTTGTTAATCAAAAGCTCTAAATTTTGACAGTTCATTTATTTAATTTTATAATAAATCAATACATAATTATTAATGTATTTCATATTTAATAAAAGAATTTTTTTTTGATCAAAATGATATTTTAGATTTTAAACATTTTTACTCTTTTAACTAAAAAATGAAAAAAAAATTAGTTTATTTTAAAATAATTTTTTTATAATATTTAAATTTTCTGGCCGAACTTAACCAAATTTTATAGCTATTTAACACTTCCATTAATAAAATTGTAAATTTAAATTAGTTATAATTGATATCTCGTCATCTTATAATATTAATTTTCTCTTAAATATCATTTGTATTTTTTGTGTATTTCATTTTCATAATTCTTAAAAATGTTTAATTTATATTAAAAAATTAAAATAAAATAAAATATAATAATTAGGACATAATTAAGAAGCTCAAAAGTTTTTTATTAAAAAAAATAAACAAGAATTTGTATAGAGAATCTAGAAAGATGGAGGAAATTCAAATATACAACATATAGTTATTTCAATGACCTCATATACATTTTCTTCATTACACAAATATTATCATACTATATATACATATGAATAATTTGTTTTTAAGAAAATACAAAAAAACAATTATAGAAAAAAGATATTTTTTTTCAAAAAAAAGCTAGAAGAAACGCAATAATTTCATTAGTTTATATCATAACATTTGAAATCAAATCAAATGAACAAGATAAACTACACAATTACTACACCAACCACATCTTCTAAATAGAAGTTCACATTTATTAGCCCCCTCTCTCAACTCTCACGTCAATTTTTTTTTCTCTACTTTATCACTATTAAATCTTCCGTCACCATTTTCTTCTTCCACATACAATCACACAGATATTAATTAAGAAAGAATACAGAAGACATTTGTTAATACTACAAAGGTGACTTACTATCACCTAAAGTCAACATTTAAAAAAAATAAAAAAATTTATTTTATATATTTTATTCTTATAAATTCTAAAAGAATATTACAATTAATTATAATATAATATTTTTTTTTCAATTGATAATATAATATTTCTTGTAAAAATATAAATATATATATATATATATATATATATATATATATATATAACTATTGTAATTTACATAACAACATAAATGTTTAAATCTCTTTAATTGATTATAGTTTTGAAAACTTTTTCAATAGAATCAATTATTAAATAAACTATAAAGATTATTTTAAAAGTATTCAAAAATAAAATTTAAGACTTTACTTGATTGAATATGTCAATTAGAGTATCACTTTTCACTTATGTAATATTTCATAATACTTTTAAATACAAAAAAACTAATATTATAATGATTGTTACTCTTAGAAGACCTTCAAAGTTAAGATAATATTTTTCAAAATCTAATTGTTTGGTAATCTAATTAGTTTGAGCTTGAAAAATAAAACATCTCAAAGAATTGAAGCTAATCTTACAAAATTTATATTAAAACATGAACTGAAATTAATTAGAGAAATTAAGAAATAAAAAGTAGCTATAAATTTTTATTGTGTAGGATTTTTAATTATAATTACATTAATAATAAAATTTTAAAAAAACATGTGCATAATAATTAGTAGAGAGATGTAATGGGTGTTCGAGGAAAATGTAGAGGATGCAGCAGTATTCTCAGAAGACACATTGTGAGGGCTATCTGTAACAAGGAAGAGAGTAGAAGTTAGTACCATTATATTAATGTTGGTGTTATCGAGTTATAATGTACACACCCAAATGAAGATTTGCGGTTAAAAAATGAATAATTTTTTTCTTTTCAAATAAATAAATCGGTTGCCAGCATAACCTATATGCTTGTGACAGGTTCACACAAAGATGTAATTTAGGTCATCTACATTGACTTTTGAGTAGCAGACTATAAGCTGTAATTTAGTTTGATGAGAAATTCAACTACTAAGGTCCCTGTCTAACAAACAAAATCCTAAAAGTCCATATTGCATGCATTCTTAAAAAACTATATAAAGCAACATACTTGAAGCCAATGTCACACATATTCTTTAATCTTCTAAGATTTTGCAGAAAAATGGCTCAGTATTACCACTTATCCTCTCTTTTACTACTTGCATTACTCAATTTATTCTTCATTTATGGCAACATAACTGAAGCGACTGCACGCCACCTCCTAGAGACGTCCCTCCCTGAGATTCCTAAACAAGAACTCCCCAAATTCCCAGCCTTGCCAAAGCCTGAAATCCCAACTATGCCAAAGCCTGAGCTTCCAACCATTCCAAAACCTGAGCTACCAACTTTCCCCAAGCCCCAGTTACCAACTTTGCCAAAGCCAAAGATGCCTGAGATACCCGCAATGCCAAAATTAGAGTTTCCTCCCTTGAAAAAGTCAGAAATTCCAGCAGTGCCAAAGACTGAGGTTCCTCCAGCTATGAAAAAGCCTGAAGTTCCAACTTTACCAAAGCCTGAGCTACCGAATATGCCAAAGCCAGAAATTCCAGAACTACCAAAGCCAAAGGTCCCAGAACTTCCAAAGCCAGAAGTACCAACTATGTCAAAGCCTGAAATCCCAGAATTACCAAAGCCAAAAGCCACAGAGCTTCCAAAGCTAAAAGTCCCAACAATTCCAAAGCCTGAAGTACCAACTCTGCCAAAGTCAGAAATCCCAGAACTACCAAAGCCAGAAATTCCAGAACTTCCAAAGCCAAAAGTACCAACTATGCCAAAGCCTGAAATTCCAGAATTACCAAAGCCAAAAGCCCCAGAACTTCCAAAGCTAAAAGTCCCAACAATGCCTAAGCTTGAAGCATCAACTATGCCAAAGACTGAAATCCCAGAACTACCAAAGCCGAAAGTCCCAGAGCTTCCAAAGCTAAAAGTCCCAGCAACGCCAAAGCCAGAAATCTCAGAACTACCAAAGCCAAAACTCCCAGAACTTCCAAAGCCAGAAGTACCAAAAATGCCAAAGCCTGAAATCCCAGAACTACCAAAGCCAAAACTCCCAGAACTTCCAAAGCCAGAAGTACCAACTATCCCAAAGACTGAAATCCCCGAACTACCAAAGCCAAAAGTCCCAGAGCTTCCAAAGCTAAAAGTCCCAACTATGCCAAAGCCTGAAATTCCAGAACTACCTAAACCAACTCTTCCTTCACTTTCTCCACCATACAAACCCGCTACTCCTTGAGTAAATTATATGCTGCTTTCACTCTAATTGAAAGTACCCAACTGATGTTTTGAGATTTCCATCTCACTCTATGAAGTTTGCCACATGAGCTGCGACATGGAGATAGTATTGGATACTTTCTGCTAGGAGAAGAAATTTTAATTCTTTTATAGTAGTATTTGAATTGGATGTACCGAGTTTGTTGTGTTATTATAGTATTATATTATATGAATATTTTATGTATTTCTATACATACCGTGTAAGAAAGCTTTGATATATTTTACTTTGATTTAGTTCCTGTCCATTCTTTACCTCACAGTTTTTCCTTCATAATTTATAGTAACCAATATCTTCCCCATTACATTTCAAGAGTGTGGAATGAAGGATGAACTAGTATATTTAAGTGCCACGGAATGGAGTGAACTAACTGATGAGAATATACTTTCTGTTGGTAACAAACTTTCTGTTAGTAACAAATTAGTGGCTTTAGTTAGTTACAAGTTACAAGATATTAGTTATAAGTTGTTAGTTACAAGTTGTTATTTTCCAATAGTTAGTTAGAAGTTAGTTTTGCTATTCATCAAGGTTACATATATACTCATATTGTATTCATTTTAATTCAATACACAATCAATACAAAATACTCTTCTTCTTCCCTTAATCTGCTCTCAAGTTAAAGCTGCAAGCTTAAGCTTTCAAGCTCACATATGAGATCATCAATGGAGTTGAATTGATGGTGATAATCTCTTCATGGTAGTCTAATTTGTCCTGTTTCGAAGTCGAACTGTGAGCCATTTTTTGTTGTTGTTATCAACTGATTCGATTGACTGATTGAGAGGTTGTATTGTAAGGTTTCTTCTTCTTTCTTTCTGATTGAGGAAACACATTCATAGCTGGAATTTAGCAAGTTCTAGATTTTTTTTGTGTTAGATCTATCACAGATATTCCAATACAATGACTGACACTCAAGTTGGAGATGTTGCTTCTAGTTCAACCACATCTCGTTTGGATTTTTCCAGTCCCTTTTATCTGCATCCTTCAGAGAATGCAGGATCATCATTGTTACCTGGAGTTTTCGATGGTACTGGTTACAAATCTTGGAGAAGAGCAGTACTCAGAGCACTATCAGTTAAAAGTAAAACAGGTTTCATTAATGGAACAATCGTGAAGCCTACATCTACTGATCCTAACTTCATGCAGTGGGAAAGATGTGATGATATGGTCACATCTTGGATCTTGAATTCTTTGTCTCCAGAGTTGCGAGATAGCCTGCAATATGTGAATAATGCTAGGGAGTTATGGGCAGAATTAGAAGAGAGATATGATCAAACAAATGGATGCAAATTGTACCAGTTACAGAAGGAGATAAATGAACTTGTTCAAGGTACTCTAGACATTACTAAGTACTACACAACAATGAAAAAGCTGTGGGAGGAGATGAGCACAGTTGACATTAATTCTCAATGCACATGTGTGTGTTCTTGTGGAGGTAAAACAAAGCTGCAAAAGGCTGAGCAAGACAGAAGGTTGATACATTTTTTGATGGGGTTAAATGAAATGTATACTACTGTTAGAGGTAGTATTCTCATGATGAACACTCTTCCTAGTATGGCTCAAGCTTTTGCTATACTGTGCCAAGAAGAAAAGCAAAGAGAAGTAAAGCCTCATAATCATACAGCCTTGGATTCTACTTCTCTCAATGCTTATGGACAGTACAATAACAATGCAGGTTACAAAGGATTCAGAACAGATTATAGTTCATCTAAAGGGGCTGGATCCAGTTCTGGTAACAATATGTCTAGAGGGAATTCAAGTATCAACAGGTCTATTTTAGTATGTGATTATTGCAAGAAATCAGGACACACGAGAGATAGATGTTATAAACTCCATGGATATCCATCCAATCCAAAGTTTCAAAAGGGAAAAAGAACAAGTACTGCAGCAAATGTGTGTCCTTCTAATATGAGTGAACAACAATCTGAGGAAGAGCCTCAAATGGGAAAGCAAATGCCAATAAGCCTGTCCAAAGATCAGTATGAACAATTACTCAACATATTGGGAAATATACAAGCTGGAAATGGAGGTTTCAATTCTGATGATTCAAACAACATGATGAATGGGGCTGTGAATTTTGCAGGTATACTTGCTTGTTATTCCTCTATAAAAGACATAGGTGATCTTTCTTGTGAATGTGTTAAGCTAACTGCTGGCTCTTGGATAATAGATTCAGGAGCATCACATCATATGACTTATGATAGAACCACTCTCACAAATATTAGAACACTTCCATATCCTTTCTTAATATCACTTCCAAATGGTTACAAGGTTAAAGTGACTCAAGTTGGTGATGCTTGTTTAAATCCAGTGTTAACTCTAAGCAAAGTGCTATTTGTACCCAGCTTCAAGTTTAATCTCATTTCTGTTCATTGTTTAGCACTACAACTTAATGGAGTCATCAGTTTTGATAAATCTTCTTGTTTATTGCAGGGCCCTTCTCTGAAGAGCCCTCTGGAGCTTGGTAAGGCCAAGAATGGCCTATATTTCTTGTGTCAAAAGTGTCACAACTGCTGAAAGTCTGCTGAAGAAAAGTCATCTCACTCTAAATGTCATCTTGTCTCAAAGTTTCACAATGTATCCTCTGTAAGACAATCTCAAATTTCTACTGCAAATAAAGCAGCTTGTAAGACTGTGTCTTCTTCTCATCCTAATAATAAGTGTCTTTCACTTACTGATGTCTATAGTCACACATACAATGATGATGAACTTCTATGGCATGCTAGATTAGGACATGTACCTTTTGTAAAGATGAGAAATATAACATCCATACCTGTAAACTTTTCTCCTAAACAACCTTTTACATACAACACATGCCCTATGGCTAGGCAAACTAGGATGCCATTTCCAGAAAGTACATCTATCACTACCAAAATTTTTGAACTACTACATGTTGATTTATGGGGACCATATCATATTCCTACTCATGATGGTTACCATTATTTTCTCACCATGGTTGATGACTACAGTAGGTCCACTTGGACACAACTACTAAGATGCAAAAGTAATGCCCTTCAAACCATTAAAGCCTTTGTGTCCCTCGTAGAAAAACAGTTTCAAACCAAGTTAAAAACCATAAGATCAGACAATGGCTTAGAATTTACCTCATCTGAAGCTGTACATTTCTTTCAAACCAAAGGCATTATACACCAAAAGACATGTCCATATACACCCCAACAAAATGGGGTGGTAGAGAGGAAACATAAATACTTACTTGAAACAGTAAGAGCACTATTGTTTCAATCAAAGTTGCCTTTGAGATACTAGGGAGAGTGTGTTTTGACTGCCACATACATAATAAACAGACTACCAACTAAACTCCTTCAAAACAAATCTCAATATGAGATATTATACCTTAAGCAGCCTACTTATTCTCATCTAAAGAGTTTTGGTTGTCTTTGTTTTCCAACTGTTTTAAAAACTCACAAGGACAAATTTGAACCAAGAGCCATTCCTCATATTTTTGTTGGTTATCCATTCAATACAAAAGGATACAAAGTCTTAAATCTAGCTACAAAGAAAGTTCATATATCCAGAGATGTTGTTTTTCATGAAAAAATGTTTCCTTTTGTTCATGTTCCTGATAATGACTCTAGCTTCAATTCTGTCTTAAAGATGCTTACTCATTCTGCTAACATACCTTGTATGCCTGGAAATACAAACATATTTGCTACTGATGAAATGCTGGACAATCTAACACCACATGAAGTCACTGAAAATCAAGTAACCAATATCACTAACATACATGAAACAACATCTGCTGATTCTACAACACAAGAGCCTAGAAGAACTTCCAGAACAATAAATACTCCTAGTTATCTAAAGGATTATACATATACTCTACCTAAACTACATTCCCTCAATACTTTTGTCTCTCACAATAACCATGTATGCTTCAATAGTCTTTGTTCTGATAGCCAGCAGCTAGTCACAGCTATTTCACATGAATGTGAACCTAACACCTTTGAAGAGGCAATACTGCACCCTGCTTGGCAGCAAGCCATGACACATGAGTTTGAAGCTTTACATGCTAATGATACTTGGGAAATGGTCATGTTACCTGATGGAAAAAGGGCTATTGGCTGCAAATGGGTATACAAGATAAAGCATAAGGCTGATGGAAGTATAGAAAGGTTCAAGGCAAGGTTGGTAGTAAAAGGCTATACACAACAAGCTGGAGTAGATTACACTGAGACTTTTTCACCTGTAGTAAAGATGACTACTGTGAGAACACTGATCTCATTGGCTGTTAAGAAAGGTTGGAACTTGTATCAACTAGATGTGAATAATGCATTTTTGCATGGTGATTTACATGAGGAAGTTTACATGGTACCTCCACAAGGTCTTACAACAAGATGTGATAACATGGTATGCAAGTTAAAGAAATCTTTATATAGACTAAAGCAGGCAAGTAGGCAATGGTATGAGAAGCTAGCAGACAGTCTGTGTTCAAGGAGATATCAGCATTCAGACAGTGACTATTCCTTGTTTTACAAGAAGAAGGGTAGTTCCTTAGTATTTGTTGCTATATACGTGGATGATATAATTATGACTGGGAATAATGTTGATGAAATCAATTCCTTAAAGTGTTTCCTGCATGACCAATTCAAAATAAAGGACTTGGGGAAACTACATTACTTCTTAGGCCTGGAGATATTGTATAGACATGATGGTGTTATTGTTTCTCAGAGGAAGTTCACTTCTGATCTTCTAAGAGATTTTGATATGTTGAGTTGCAAAACTACTTCATCACCACTTGATTCCACTGAAAAATTGAAGGCCACAGATGGTGAATTATTGACTGAACCTTCTCAATATAGGAAGTTGATTGACAAACTTAATTTCCTAACTAACACTAGAATGGACATATCCTATAGTGTACAACATTTGAGCCAGTTCATGCAATCACCCAGGGAACCACATTTGAAAGCAGCCTACCATGTACTTAGGTACTTGAAACAAGATCCAACTATGGGTAATTTTATTTCAAACAAGGATGATCTTACTGTGAGTGCATACTGTGACTCTGATTGGGCTGCTTGCCCTGAATCAAGGAGATCTGTTAGTGGTTACTTAGTTCTTATGGGAGATAGTCCTATCAGCTGGAAATCCAAGAAGCAGGCAACAGTATCACTGTCATCTGCTGAAGCTGAATACAGGGCAATAAGACAGGTTGTGGGAGAGCTAGTATGGCTTGAGAGGTTGCTGAGTGAGTTGAATGTGCAGTGTTCTCTGCCAATACATGTTCATTGTGACAGCCAAGCAGCAGTTCACATTGCCAAGAACCCAGTTTTTCATGAAAGAACAAAACATATTGAGATTGATTGCCATTTTGTAAGGACTAAGCTTCATCAAGGGTTGATCACACTTCATCACATATCCACAGATTCACAATTGGCTGACATCCTCACCAAAGCCTTAACTGGAGTTAAACACAATTCTTTGTTACACAAGTTGTCTGTGTTTACATCACCTCCAACTTGAGGGGGGGTGATGAGAATATACTTTCTGTTTGTAACAAACTTTCTGTTAGTAACAAATTAGTGGCTTTAGTTAGTTACAAGTTACAAGATATTAGTTATAAGTTGTTAGTTACAAGTTGTTATTTTCCAATAGTTAGTTAGAAGTTAGTTTTGCTATTCATCAAGGTTACATATATACTCATATTGTATTCATTTTAATTCAATACACAATCAATACAAAATACTCTTCTTCTTCCCTTAATCTGCTCTCAAGTTAAAGCTGCAAGCTTAAGCTTTCAAGCTCACGTATGAGATCATCAATGGAGTTGAATTGATGGTGATAATCTCTTCACTAACATTTTTTTATGTAGAACCAAACTGGTGATTTAACTTATTTGCTTTTTGTTTCATTCATCCTAATTAATGCACATTAAATGATTCAATTACCTCTGTTTCACCTTCTCCAAAAGAATGATAAAAACAACTTATGCTTCATGCATGATCAGTTAGCTGGTGAAACTACACGAGCCACCTTCTGGAGACGCCATCCCCATATATTCCAGCCTTACCAAAGCCTGAAATCCTATATTATACCAATACCTGAAGTACTATCTATTTCCAGCGTTCCAAAGCTATATGAATCCATGGCGTAAGCAAACATTTTTATAGGCAGCGTCCATATTTAAAGGAGCAAACAAAGAATAAATATTGTAGCGACATTAGTTTATTACTATAATTTGCTTCAACGTGTTTTCATTTTTAAAATGTATTCATGACAGTAAAAATATTTTTTTAATCATAACAGTCGTATTAAAAATAGTGTCTTACGGTGAAAACCCCATCAACCACTTTAAAGATCATTTTTCATTAGATTTTACAAGTCAATCTTAATCAAACTTCATCACCGAGAAAGCAATACGCCAAGTCTCAAGTAATTGGACCGAGTAGTTTTCAAAGTAGGATTTTACAAGTGGTGAAAGAATTGAATCCATGTAGCGTTTATAGCTATTTATTGTCCCTTTCATACACAAAAGTTGATGTGTTCAAGCAGTAGAACTCAAAAAATTTAAAATGAAAGATTGCAGTAATAATTGTTGAAGTTTATTGACTAAGTTAGGTGCTTTGCCAGCGAACCATTTACAGGCAATCTTTGGGAAGTGGTGTCATTTGTTTTTATTAATCCTGAAGCCCAAAAGAAACTCTAAAGTAATCAACTTTCTGTTTTGATTTTTGGTAGTTTTTGTCGATATCGTTGAGTTATTATGTACACCACACAGGAATGAAGATTTGTGGTAAAAAGTAGATACTTTTTCTCTGTTCAAAGAAATGAAATCAGCTAAGCTAGGATTTTTTATCAGGTTACCAGCATAACCTAAATGCAAGTGACAGGTTTAGACTATTTTAAGTAATTTATTGATTTTTGAAGTACCAGGCTGGAAGCTAATTAGTTTGATGAGAAATTCAACTACTCAGGTCCGTGACTAACAAACAAAATCCTGAAAGTCCTTGTAATTGCATTTTTAAAAACTGTATAAAGCAACAGACATAAAGCCAATGTTACATCCCAATCACATTGAGTCTTACACATTATTCTTCTTTTCGTTTCTACAATCTGTGTAAAATGGGTCAGCATTACCACGTGTCCTCCCTCTTACTACTTGCATTTCTTAATTTATTCTTTATTCATGGCAACATAACTGGTGCGGCTGCACGCCACCTCTTAGAGACACCCGTCCCTGAGATACCTAAACCAAAACTACCGAAAGTTCTAGCCTTGCCAAAGCTTGAAATCCCAACTATGCCAAAGCCTGAGCTGCCAACCATACCAAAGCCTGAGATCCCCGCTGTTCCGAAGCCCCAACTACCAACTGTCCCTTGAAAAAGCCAGAAATCCCAGCAGCTATAAAGATTGAGCATCCTCCAGCTTGCCAATGCCTGAAATCCCAGAACTACCAAAGCCAAAAGTCCTCGAGCTTCCAAACCTAAAAGTCCCAATTATGCACAAACCTGAAATTCCAGAACTACCAAAGCCAAAAGTCCCTGAAATTCCAAAGCTAGAAGTACCAACTATGTCAAAGCCTGAAATTTCAGAACTACCAAAGCCAAAAGTTTTCGAGCTTCCAACTATGCCAAAGCCTGAAATTCCAGAACTACCAAAGCCAAAAGTTCCAGAGCTTCCAAAGCTAAAAGTCCCAGCTATGCCAAAGACTGAAATTCCACAACTACCAAAGCCAAAAGTTCCCGAGCTTCCAAAGCTAAAAGTCCCAACTATACCCAAGCCTGAAATCCCAGAACTACCAAAGCCAAAAGTTCCCGAGCTTCCAAAGCTAAAAGTCCCAACTATGCCAAAGCTTGAAATCCCGGAACTACCTCTGTGAACTCTTCCTTCACTCTCTCCACCGTACAAACCTGCAACTCCATGAGTAATTATGTGCTACTTTCACTCTATTAAAAGTACCCAACTGATGTTTTGCTATTTCTATCTCAGTCTATGAAACTTGCGACATGAACCATGATATGGAGATAGTATTGAAAACTTTCTTCTAGGAGTAGAAATAGTAATTCTTCTATAGTAGTGTTTGAATTTGATGTACCATGTTTGACGTGTCATTATACTGTATGAGTGTTTTATGTAATTGTTATAAATAAGCTTGATCTGTGTTATTTAAATTTAGTTTGTATCATTGGTAAGCTCTGTTTTTGCTCATTCCTTATCTATACACTCTTTCCCTCTAGTTTTTTATAGTAACCAATTTCTTCCATTACATTTCAAGAATGTGGAATAAGAATGAATTAGCATATTTAAGCATAGTACAAAATTGATGATTTAGCTATTTTTGCCCTTTGTTTCGTTTATCCTTGGGCATATCAAATGGACTCAGTTACCTCTGCTCTAAAAGAAAGATGAGAACAAATTATGCTTTCATGCTTGGCCTGTTAGCATGTGCAACTACAGGTTCTATTTAGAGAGGCCATTCCCTAAACCCCCCAAATATTTCGGCCTAGTTGAAGCCTGAATCTCCAACCTTATACTATACTCAATTTTTTTTAAAGCGGCATCTATATTTAGAGGAGTAAACAAAGAACAAATATTGTAGAGACGTCATATTAAAAGATATTAGTTTATTACATCAAACAACTACTCAAAAACTCATCATTCATTCGATTTCACAAATGATCTTAATCAACATCATCCCTGAGAAAGCAATAAGCAAGTCCAAGTAATTGAATCAGAATACGGTTTGTAGTTATTTATTGTCCCTTTCGTACTGCAAAAGTTGATGATATATTTCAATTTTTTCCTTATAAAAGGTAGAAAGTCATATCCATTCAACCGGGCATCATTTTTTTATTAAGCAGTAAAACTCTAAACTTTTAAAGTGAAAGATTGCAGAACCGTGTGAAATTAGGTGCTTTGCCAGTGAACCAATTGACTATGGGAAGTGGTTTCATTTATTTTTATTTATTATAATGAAATACTTCATTTTGCATACGTCTGTAAGATGTCTGAAGTCCTTCATCCTACCTAAATCCGCCCCTGTATGCCATTCTTTCGGTATTAACTTTTTTATACGAATCTGATATATTTTTTGTTTCATTTCTTGGAGAATTGTATTGACATTTTGTGGTATAATGTGAATTCAGGATTTTTCTCTTTTCAAGATAATGAAATAAGCTACTCTATCCGGTCCAAAATAATGTCATAAGCTAATTTTACCATTTAAATATTGACGAAGTATTATTTAACTAATGTCAATAGCTTATTTTAGTGGCGTAACAACCCAAAAAATTCATTTATTTTTGGACGGTGGGAGTAATAAGGAATGAATCTCTATCGGGTTGCCATCATAACCTATGTGTTTGTGACAAGTTACACTATTTTGTAATTAGGTCATCCAGATTGGCTTTTGAGGTACCAACTAAAAGCTAAGTGGATGAGAAGTTCAATTACACAGATCCTTACTAAACAAACAAAATCCAAAAGTCCATTTTAAAACCTATATATAGCAACAGACTTAAACCAATGCCACATCCGAATCACATTGAGTCTACACATTCTTCTTTATAATTCTAAGATGTGCAGAAAAATGGCTCAGCATCCACGGAAAGACTCTATTTGGTTGCTCCTTCTCAAATTTTGCCTTTGAATCTAGTATTTTTCCCCTTCCTGCTTTGTCACCCGGAAACTCGTGATTTGTGCCATCAAAGGTGACTCCATTCCCGAATCTCAAATTTAACAGTATGATTAAAGATTAATAAACGTTTACTCTCTCCGCATCTCTACCAGAATGATTGACGATATTTTTGTTGTAGCTACTCTTTATATCGCTATTGTTCCATACAAAGCCTAATTTTGTCTGCAATCAATATAACTATAGTTTATAATATGTTCGAAGTTATATCACACTTTTTATTTCTCTTAACTCGGACATCTCAAATGTTATCGTATTTTACTAAATACATTACGTAATATTCTGTAGATGACAACTGTTAAGCATTCATATAATGTAATGTTTTCTCCATCAAATTAAATTATCAATAATTATTTAACTATTTTTATTAATAATATAAATGCTTATATCAAGTTAACATTAAGATGTGATATTCCGTCAAAAAATGCTTTATAAAATAAGGCCGAGAGAGTTTATATTTTGATTATAAAAATATTTAGTTCAAGTGTAATGATTTTTTTTTAAAGAAGAACCAACATTCTCATCATTATCGTGAGAGTCTTATGCATGCCAAATTAAACTATATTTGATTAAGATATGTTGTGTCTCTACACCCACTTTTTATTTTAATTTGATTTGAAGAGACAACCAACAAATAAAGAAAAAACATAAAATACATTGTAATTGAAAATTTAGAGGTGATTATAAATATTTAACAAAAGTTTGATTCCTTAAAAATCTCATATAAGCTAGTAAATCTGAGTATTTCTTTATTTTAGCCATATTCGAGATACTATGATATTACTTACAAGACAAATTCTATATACTATAATATTGGCAGATAAATAGGTCAACTAACGTATCAAATATTGAAATCTTCCTTTTTATATGCTTGTAAAAATCTATATATAGCTAAATGAAAAACTATTGAAATATCAAAACTTCATTTGCTCTTAACATATGATACTCTAAGCTTCTTGCATCGGCTGAAAAAATGGTTCAACATTACAAATTGTCCTCCATCTTATTGGTCGCATTTATCTACTTTATACATGACCAAATGATTACTACTACAACAGCACGTCACATTCTACAAACTCCTAGTTTCTCAACGCCCACAACCCCCAGTTTCTCAAATTCCCCCGGTCTTCCAAAGCCTGCTAGCCCAAGTTTCTCCAATTCACTCAGTCTTTCGAAGCCCGAGATTCCTAGTTTCTCTAAGCCCGAAACTCCTAGTATCTCAAAGCCAGAAACTCCTAGTTTCTCAAAACCCAAAACTCCAAGTTTCTCAAAACCCGAAACTCCTAGTTTCTCAAAACCCGAAACTCCTAGTTTCTCAAAACCCGAGACTCCTAGTTTCTCAAAACCACAGACCCTTAGTTTCTCAAAGTCCAAAGCTCCTAGTTTCTCAAAATCCGAGACTCTTAGTTTCTTAAAACCTGAAACTCCTAGTTTCTCTAAGCCAGAAAATCCTAGTTTCTCAAAGCCTGAGACATCTGGTTTCTCAAAGCCCGAGACACCTAGTTTCTCCAAGCCCGAGACTCCTAGTTTCTCAAAACCCAAAATCCCTAGTTTCTCAAAGTCCGAAACTCCTAGTTTCTCAAAGCCGGAAACTCCTAGTTTCTCAAAGCCTGAGATTCCTACTTCACCAAAGCCCAAAATTCCTACTTTCTCAAAGCCCGATATCCCAAGTTTTTCAAAGCCAAAGACCCCTAGTTTCTCTAAATGTGAGACTCCTACTTTCTCAAAATCTAAGACTCCTAGTTCTCCAAAGCCCGAGACTCCTGATTCTCTAAATCTCGAGGCCCCTAGTTTTTCAAAGTCTGAAAACCCTAGTTTATCAAAACTCGAGATTCCAACTTTCTCAAATCCTGAGACTCCGAGTTCCCCAAAGTCTGAGACCCCAACTTTCCCAATGTATGAAATCCTAAGTTCTCCAAAGTTCGAGACCTCAAATTCTCCAAAGCCTGAGACCCCTAGCTACTCAAAGCCAAAAACCCCTAGTTTCTCAAAGCCAGAGATACCAAGTTCCCCAAAATCTGAGACTCCAATATCCCCAAAGTTCGAGATCCCTACTTTTTCAAAGCCTAAAAACCCCATTTCTCCAAATCCCGAGAACCCAAGTTCCCCTAAGCATGTAACCCCTAGCTTTTCAAAGCCTGATACCCCAAGTTTCTCTAAGCCCGTGACTCCAAGTTTCTCAAAGCCTAAGACTCCAAGTTCCTCAAAGCCTGAGGCGCCAAGTTCTCCAACGCCCGAGACACCAAGTATCACAAAACCCGAGACTCCTAATTTCTCAAAGCTTGAGACTCCAAGTTCTCCAAAGCCCGAGACCCCTATTTTTTCAAAACCCAAGATCCCTAGTTCTCCAAAGCCTGAGAATCCAAGTTCTCCAAAGCCCGAGACCCCTAGTTTCTCAAAGCCTGAGATTCCTAGTTTCTCAAAGTCCGAGACCCCAAGTTCCCCAAAGCATGAGACCCCAGGTTCCGCAAAGTCTGACACGCCAAGCTTCCCAAAGCCTAAGACGCCAAGCTCCACAAAGCCTGAGATGCCAAGTTCCGCAAAGCCTGAGATGCCTAGCTTAACAAAGCCCGAGAACCCAAGTTTCCCAGAGCTCGAGAACCCAAGTTTCGTAAAGCCCGAGACGCCAAGCTCCCCAAAGCCTCACACCCCAAGATTCAAGACTCCAAATTTTCCAATACCCGAAACTCCTAGTTCCCAAAAGCCCGACACACCAAGTTCCCCAAAGTCTGAGACGCAAAGTTCGCCGAATCTTGAGACACCAAGTTTTCCTAAATTTGAGATTCCTAGTTTCTCAAAGCCAGAGGTACCTAGTTTCTTTAAATTCGAATCCTCTAATTCTTCAAAGCCTGTTATTCCAGCAGCCCCAACAGAACCCTAGAACCTTAAATACCAAGTGTGACAGAGCGTGAGCTACCAACTACCTCAAAACCTGATATCCCAACTTTTACAAAGCCTGAATTACCAATTGTTTCAAATCTTGAGATTCCTAGTGTGATAAAGACGGAAAATCCAAAACTTTCTAAACCAACATTGTCAACTTCTCCATGAGTAACTATGGTGTTATTCATGTGTCATGACTTATGCTAGCTAACAAACGAACTATATCGCATATGAATGAGTTGACAATGGGTTAGATGCAAATGGATAAAATATTCGACTAGACGGTATTTTATGTGAATAAAAATGGGTTGAATGATGGATAATATTATTATATCCACTTATTATCTACTCATAAATTGTACAAAATTGAAATTAACTATCAAATAAAGTGAAGCACTTTCTTTTTATTTAATTTTTTATTTTGATAAGCCAACCTACATATTGCTTTTCACTTTAGATATTTCTCTTTTCTTAGTCAATAAATACATATACTAGAAGTTGTAGTTTCTAACTTTTGGTACGAAGTTTTTGTATGCTAAAATGGTAGATGCTAAAATTAGAGCTCATTGAATTAAACTACAAAAGGGTACTTTGTATATACTTCTATAATTTAGTATTTAGTTACTTTGAAAGAAAAGAGTACACACATATTGGCAAAAAAAAACTAGAGGGAATTTTGAGTTATATATACATATATATTAGGTAATTTCCCACATGATAGACTTTATTAAGCTTTATTATTAATTCTCATATCTCAACTAATATCAGAAATAATATAAATAACTTAATGATCGTTGCAATATTTTTGAACATAAATGAAGAGATTCGATATTATCACATATCTTAAAAAGCTACGATGAATGATTGCAAATATTGTACTTTTTGATCAATTTTATCTTCTAATGCACTGAGTGTTTTCTGATGGTAACATTTTTTTCCTTTGATTTATATAATGTCTTCTGAATATAGCATGATCTATTATAAAATAATTGTGCATCAATTTTTGTCTATTCTTGTGTGTACTCATAGAATGTCTTCACAACATACACTATACTATTTTGTAAAATGATTAAAGATTTGTTGATATTTCAGCACTGTAATTGTCACGTTATTTAAGCACATTTTGGGACTCCAAAACTTCACCACAAAAAATCTCCATAATTTACGTATTTTCTAAAAATTCATCAACACTCTGAATTTCACTGTAAATTTTTTGATGTACTCATTTACTATGTTTATAAGAAGAAGTTTCTAACATGTAATTTTGTTAAAGATGTCAAGGCCAAGATTAATGTTTTGGTAATTACCTTGCAAATGACTCATTGAATGTTAAAATTTTTTTGAAACTAACTTCACAATGCAAATTAATATTTTAAAAGATAATGATTTTTATATCGGTGTTATCTTTCAGTTATGATATTCTTTTCGTGTTGTAGTTATTATGAGTAGCAAGTAAATTTATTTCAAATTCATTCTAAAAAGTAAAAAGTAACAACTTATTATGTTTAAAATACTTCAGTAACTAAAACAAATGTTAATGCATTATTTGGCTACTCTTCCTTCTCAGTTTTCTTTAATAATTTACAGTAATAGTAACCACTTTCTTCCATCACATTTCAAGAGTATGATATAAAGGATAACTTGTAGCATATTTTAAATTGGGAAAAAAAATATTTTAACTTTAGTCAAAATTATTGTCACGATATCAAACTTTGTGGAGGACCTTTTACCCCCTGAACTATATAATAGTTTATTTTAAAGGTATATATTTACAGACATAGACACATTATATTCATAATTATGCATATTTTTTATGTCCACGTGACACATATATGCCTTTAAAATACACTACTAAATAGTGCGGTAAAAGGTCTTTTCCAAAATTTAGTATCGTAATAGAAATTTCGATCAAAGTTCAAATATATTTCAGACATTTTTCCTTTTAAAGTGCCTGTTGAATATTTTGTTCCATAAATACACCATTATAGAGTTGTGTTTGTTCACTGATTGATATCATTATTTTTAACTCTCTAAAAATGTGATAAATATTTCAAGTGTAGTTATATCTTTCTTATGCCATTTCTGTGGATTGTACTAGTCTTTTTTTCTCATCAGGTGTCAAATATTTTTTTTAGAGATGAATCTAGAATTTATATTTTGTTAGTTAAATTTTTAAGATTCTTAATACTGAACTTATTTGATTTGTAAACCAGAAGTATGATTTCAAGCTTATTATTTGTTGCAATTTTAGTGATCTTTTTGCCCATAAACTCCACAACAAAATTACTAAGTTTAGATGAATCTAATTTTTCGTGTTACATTTGACCTTGCCTGCCTTGTCACCCTGCAACTCATGATTTATGCCACCAAAGGTGACTCCATTTTCGAAGCTTGAATTTAAGAAATCTGATTAAGAATTAATAAATATTTATTCCCCTTCATGTCGCTTGTTGATAACTAGTCTTTGTGTCACTATTGTTCCATACAAAGCCTAATTTTGTTCCGAGTTATAGTCAACTTTTTATTTCTTTGAACTGGGACATCCCAGTGCTCCCAAATGTAATCATATTTTACTGAAATATGGAGTATTATTTTGTCGATAGTTGATTATAACTTTTAAGTGTATTCATATAATGTAATGTTTTCTCCATCAAATTAAATTATCAATAATTATTTTAATATTTTTAGTTATATATAAATACTTAAATCAAGTTAACATCATGGCACGATATTCAATCAAACAATGCCTTTTAAAATAAGACTAAGGACGTTTATATGTTTATTTTTAAAGATATTTAGTGAAAAGTGTAATGATTTCAATTATTACAAGAAGAAATCAACGCTATCATTTTTATCGTGATAGAGTGATATGTACATTAAGTTCAATTATGTATGATTAAGATATGACGTGTCTCTCTTATTCCCACTTTTATTTTAATTTTATCCTAAGTGAAAGGCTAGAAATAAAGAAAGGACATAATTAAAAGACATTGTGATTGATAATTTAAAGGTAATTAGTAAATAGTTTAACGATTGTTTGCTTCCTTAATAATCTCAATTAAGCTAGAAAATCTGAGCATTTCTTTATTCTAGAGATATTCAAGATACTATAATATTGCTATCATAATACAAATTCTAGATACTATAATATTGGCAAATAAATAGGACAACTAACCTATCAAGTATTGAAATCCTCCCTTTTACATGCCTTTAAAATTCTATATATAGCTAAATGGGAAACAATTAATATATCAAAATTTTATTTTCTCTCACCACATTTTTCTCTAAGTTTCTTGCATCAGCTGAAGAATGGCTTGGCATTACAACTTGTCCTCCATCTTATTGTTTGCTTTTATATACTTTATCCATGACGGCATGATAACTGCTATAACGGCACGTCGCCTTCTTCAAACCCCTAGTTTTACAGGATCCGCTACTCCTAGTTTTTCAATGCCCGCTGTCCCAAGTTTCTCGACGCCCACTACCCTTAGTCCCTCAATGCCTGCTACCCCAAGCTTCTCCAATTCCCCCGGTCTTTCAAAGCCTGAGAACCCTAGTTTCTCAAAGCCCCAAACTCCTAGTTTCTCAAAGCCTGTAACACCTAGTTTGTCAAAGCCTGAGAACCCTAGTTTCTCTAAACCTGAAACATCTAGTTTCTCAAAGCCCGAGACTCCTAGTTTCTCAAAGCCTGGAACTTCTAGTTTTTCAAAACCTGAGACCCCTAGTTTCTCAACACCAACTACCCCAAGTTTCTCAAATTCACCTAGTCTTTCAAAGCCTGAGATCCCTAGTCTCGCAAATCCTAATATCCCTAGTTTTTCAAAACCTGAAACACCTAGTTTCTCAAAACCTGAAACACCTATTTTCTCAAAGCCCGAAACTCCTAGTTTCTCAAAGCCTGAGGCACCTAGTTTTTCAAAACCTGAAACCTTTACTTTCTCAAAATCAGAGACCCCTACATTTTCAAAACCCCAGAATCCTAGTTTTTCAAAATCTGAAACCCCTAGTTTCTCACAACCTGAGGCTCCTAGTTTCTCAAAGACAGAAACTCCTAGTTTCTCTAAGCCAGAGACACCTAGTTTCACAAAGTCTGAGACACCTAGTTTCTCAAAGCCTGAAACTCCTAGTTTCTCAAAACCTAAGACTAGTAGTTTCTCAAAGCCCAAGACTCCTAGTTTTTCAAAACCTGATACCTCTAGTTCTCCAAAGCTTGAGACTTCAACTTTTTCAAAGCCCACATCTCTTAGTTTCTCCGATCCCAAGACCCCTGGTTCACCAAAGTCTGAGAATCCTACCTTTGCAAAGTCTGAGACCCCTAGTTTTTCAATGGTCGAGACTCCTAAATCCTCAAATCATATTACTCCTACTTCCCCAAAGCCCGAGACCCCTACTTTATCAAAGCCTCAGACTCCTACTTTCTCAAAGACTGGGATCCCAAGTTTCTCAAAGACAGAGACCCCTAGTTCTACAAAACCCGAGATTCCTAGTTTTTCAAAGCCTGACACTTCTGATTCCCCAAAGCCAGAGACCTCTGATTCTCCAAAGCTCGAGACCCCAAGTTTTTCAAAGCCTAAAACCTCTAGTTTCTCAAAGCCTGAGACTCCTAGTTTCTCAAAGCCTGAGATTCCTACTTTCTCAAAGTCTGAGACTCCAAGTTCCCCAAAGTTAGAGACTCATACATTCTCAAAGCCTGAAATTCCAAGTTCTCCGAAGCCTGAGACCCCTTGTTTCTCAAAACCCGAGACCCCTAGCTTCCCAAAGTTTGAGACTCCTAGTTTCTCAAAGCCCGAGACCCCTAGCTTCCCAAAGTTTGAGACTCCTAGTTTTTCAAAGCCTGATATGTCAAGTTCCCCAAAATCTGAGACTCCGAGTTTTTCAAAACCTAAGACTCCGAGTTCCCCAAAGTCTGAAATCACTACTTTCACAAAACCTGAAATGCCAAGTTCTCCAAGCCCTAAGACACAAAATTCCCTAAAGCCTGAGACCCCCAGTTTTTCAAAGTCTGAGACTCCTAGTTTTCCAAAGCATGAGGCACCAAGTTCCCCAACGCCCGAGATATCAAGTTTCTCAAAGCCTGAGACTTCAAGTTCTCTAAGTCTTTCAAGTTCCGTAAATCCTGAAACTCCTAGTTTTTCAAAATCCGAGACTCCAAGTTCCCCGAATCTTGAGACCCCTAGTTTCCCGAAACCCGAGACTCCTAGTTTTTCAAAGCCTGAGATTCTAACTTCCCCTAAGACCGAGAATCCTAGTTTCTCAAAGCCCGAGACTTCAAGTTCCCCGAATCCCAAGACTCCTACATTTTCAAAACCTGAGACGCCAAGCTCCCTAAAGCCGGAGATGCTAAGTTCCCCAAAGCCCGAGACCCCAAGCTCTCAAAAGCCTGAGACACCAAGTTCCCTAAAGCCCCAGACTCCAAGTTCCCCAAAGCCCGAGACGCCAAGCTTCGAAAAGCTCGAGACGCCGAGCTCTCTAAAGCCCGAGATGCCAAGTTCCGCAAAGCCCGAAATGCCAAGCTCCCCAAAGCCCGAGACTCCAAGCTCCCCAAAGCCCAAGACCCCAAGTTCCACAAAGCCTGAGACTCCAAGCTTCCCAAAGCTCGAAACGCCAAGCTTCCCTAAGCCCGAGACTCCAAGATTCCAAAAGCCCGAGACGCCAAGTTCCGCAAAGCCCGAGATGCCAAGCTTCCCTAAGCCAGAGACTCCAAGCTTCCCAAAGCCTGAGACGCCAAGCTCCCCTAAGCCTGAGACGCCAAGTTCCGCACAACCCGAGATGCCAAGCTCCCCAAAGCACGAGACCCCAAGTTCCCCAAAGCACGAGACGCCAAGCTCCTCAAAGCCTGACATCCCAAGTTTTGAGACTCCAAGTTTTCCAAAACCTGTAACTCCTAGTTCACTATGTCCCGACACACCAAGTTCCCCAAAGTCTGAGACGCCAAGTTCGTCGAAGCATGAGATCCTAAGATCTCCAAATTTTGAGAAACCTAGTTTCTTAAATCCAGAGATACCCAGTTTATTAAAACCCGAAACCACTAATTCTTCAAAGTCTGATATTTCAGCAGCCCCAGAACCTGAGACTCCAAGTGTTTCTAGGCATGAAATACCAAGTGCACCAAACCGTGAGGTACCAGCTACCCCAAAATCAAAGATCCCAACACTTACAAAGCCTGAATTACCTGTTATATCAGATCCTGAGATTCTAAGTGTATTAAAGACAGAAATGCCAAAACCTTCCAAACAAACATTGTCAACTTCTCCTTGAGTAACTACGGTGTTATTCATGTGTCATGACTTGTGTTGGCTAGCCAACAGAGGATTAGATCGCATCTGAATGAGTTGAATATGGGTTAGATGTGAATGGATAAATATTTGACTTGTCATGTGAATAAAAATGAGTTGAGTGATGGATGATTTTAGTATCCACATATTATTTACTCATAAATTGTACAAAAATGAAATTTGCTATCAAATAAAGTGAAGCATTTTTTTCTGTAATTTTATTTTTTGATAAGCCAACTTACATTGTTTTTCACTGTGTCGTTAAATGTTTATTTTTTCTTAATCAACATATGTAGAAACTATGATTGATCTATTTTACCACATACAATTAGCAGGACATGATCTGTGTTTATCAAATAAACCATTTTTTTACATCAGATTTCGAAAGCATGGACATGATTAATTAAGTGTGCGCTACGTTGGTTGCATAATATATATGTTTCACTTACTTTCTTATGTGTTTAATATCAAGTATTATTATAATTCTCTCTATTTTGTCTCATCATTTTAAGAAGACAGGAAGTGTCTATGAAGCTCCTGTAATCGCTTTAGTTGTTGCAATTTCTCAAATATTGCCTTTCAAGTTAGTGTTAATTGTTTTTAATGCTTTTGAACTTTCATTTTTTTCTTAAAAAGTACTTTAATTTGGACAATGATAGAATTGCAGAATATGTTCTTTCATTACAACATTCACAAATTATAATTTTAAAAATATTATCTCATTTTCGCTAATCAAATTTGATAATTTTGATCTTTTAAAGGGTAAATGTTTGTCATGACTAAAAAATAGGTTTAAACGTAGAATTTGGGTCAATTTAAAACAAAAGATTTTTCTAGTTTACTTTTTTTTAAAAAAAAATCTACAATAGCTAAATTCAAATTCGTTGTAAAAGTAGAAATTTATTATGTTAAAAATCACTGCAATAACTAAAACAAATGTTAACACATTGTTTGGTTACTCTTCCTGTCGGGTTATAATTTATTATTTACAATAATAATAGTAACCACTTTATTCCATCGCATTTCAAGAGTAATTTAAAGGATAAATTAAAGTGTTGGATCAATATTTTGCTCCACAGATATACCTCAATAGAGTGTTATGTTCGTTAATTGATTAATACCATTTTTTTAACTCTCTGAAAACGTGATAAATCTTCTAAATGACAGAGTCCAATTTTCTATTTTGTTGGTTCAACTTTTTAGATTTTTAATATTGAACATATTTGATATGTAAATTAAAAATATGAGTTTTGGCCTATTATTTATTGCGAGTTTAGTGATCATTTTATGACAAAATTACTAGGTTCATATGAATCTAGCCTTTGATGTTGTATTTGCCCTTGCCTGGTCTGCTTTGTTACCCTGCAACTCGTGATTTGTGCCATAAAAAATGACTCTATTTTCGAAGCTCAAATTTAAGACATCTTATTAAAGAATAATAAAAATATTTATTTCCTCCGTGCCTAATTTTGTCTGCAACAATATAAGTATTGTTTATTTGTTCCAAGTTATAATATAACTTTTATATCTTTTGACTGATACGTCTCAAATGTTGTCATATTTTACTAAAATAGTATTATTTTGTAGATAGTGGATTATACCTTTTAGGTATATTCATATATAATGTAATGTTTTCTCCATCAAATTAAATTATCAATAATTATTTTAATATTTTAGTAATAATACAAACACTTGAATCAATTTAATATTACGATTCGATATTTAATCATACAATGCCTTAAAATAAGACTAAGGGAGTTTGTATGTTGATTTTATAGATATTTAGTGAAAAGTGTAATGATTTTAATTATTACAAGGAAAAATAAACATTGTCATTATTATTGTGATAAAGTGATATGCATTTAAAATTTCAATTATGTTTGATTATGATATGATGTGTTTCACTTATACCCATTCTTTTTTAATTTTATTTATTCAAAGAGAAAAGCTATAAATAAAGAAAGGACATAACAGATATTGTGATTGCAATTTTGGAAGTGATTAGTAAATATAGCTTAACAAATGTTTGCTTCCTTAATAATTTCATATAAGCTAGTAAATATGATCATCCTTTATTCTAGGGATTTTCAAAATACTATAATATTGTTTATCACGATACAAATTTTAGATATTATAATATTGACAAATAAATAGATCAACTGACATGTCAAATGTTGAAATTATCCCTTTTAGATGTCTTTAAAAATCTATATATATCTAAATGGAAAATTATTAAAATATAAAAATTTTATTTGCATTGATCTTACCACATTTTTCTCCGAGCTTCTTGAATCTACAAAAGAAAATGGCTCAGCATTGTAGTTTTTCCACCATCTTATAGCTTGCATTAATAAATATCATGCATAACCACATGATAATTACTATATCAGCACGTCATCTTCTTCAGATTTCTAGTTTCTCAACGTCAACAATCACTAGTTTTTCAATGCCCACTACCCCAACACCTCTAATTTTTCAAAGCCAGAGATTCCAGAAGTCCCAAAACTCGAGATACCTAGTGTCTCTAAGCCCGAATTGCCAAGTGTGCCAAAGCGTGAGCTACCAACTACCCCCATACCTGAGATCCCAGCTTTTACAAAGCCCAAATTATCAATTGTTATAGATCTTGAGATTCAAATGTGGTTAAGACAGAAATTCCAAAACTTTCTAAAGCAATATTATCAACTTCTCCATGAGGAACTACGACATTATATATGTGTCATGACTTGTGCTGGCTAACGGACGGATTAGATAGCATATGAATGAGTTGAGAATTGGTTAGATGCAAATGGATAGAATAAAAATGAGTTGAATGATAAATTATTTTTGTATATATCACATATTATCTACTCAAAAATTGTACAAAACTTAAATTTGTTATCAAATAAAGCAAAGTACTTCCTTTTTCTTTAATTTTATTATTTTTATAACCCAGCTTACATTGTTATCACTGTGTTAGATGTTTGTTTTTCTCTTACTCAAAATATAGAAGCTATAGTTTCTAACTTTTGGGCCAAATTTTTTTATGCTAAAATTATAGGTGCTAAAATTAGAGATTTTTTAATTAAACTAGAAAATAGCAACATCATACATAGTCCTATAATTCGATATTCAGCTACTTTGAAACAAAATAATATGTGCATAGTAACAAAAAAAATCAGAGGAATTTTGAAATATATATAAAATTATAACCAAATGACTTTATTAAGCTTTATTCATAATTCTTAACTAATAAACGTGGTTATTCCTCTATTATTGTAGAGGATGACTACAGCAAATCAATGCAACTTACAATAGTTAAGTGGTTCAATAAAGTAAAATGTCTTTTTCCTGTGTTTCAAATTGTTTATCTAATTTTAACAAATAAAATCTTTTTAGTGTAAGAAGTAACTCATTAACCACTAAGGCCAACTGCTATACGTTTCTTCTTCCTTATATTATTTTTCTTTTATAATAATTGAAGACATAATAATCATGAGAGACTAATAAATTTTTGATGCTATAAAGCTTATTGCATCAACTGTTTTGGAAACTTTAATGTGAAATGGAGAGAATTTGGGAGAAAATAATAGCAGCTCTAATATAATTAATTAGCTTGTCCAAGAAATTTGTGAGGTGTCCTTATTGTACGTGCAACCCATTTTCAACTAAACAATGTGTACGAAATTACGTAAGCGTGAAAATAAATCTCTTATGATCATCTGTAAACTGATCTTTTCAAATCTCTTTTAGGTGTAAAAATGAAAATATCGTGTAAAAAGAACAAAAAAATTAAATTTAAAAATTACATGATTGTATGTTTTAGGATTATGTGCATAGCTTGATTCAGTTATAAGATGTAGGTAGTGGTTGGTCTACATTAATTTAACCAAAAATCCTGTGAAGCAAATTGAGCTGAATTGTATGTGAAAATTGATTCATATTCTACCTATTGATGTGGTTGGTGGGACGGTTGAAAAACTATTTACGTTTATCCACAGTTCAAACTCTTAAAATAGATAATTTATTACTTGATAAGAAAAGGTTATCTAATGTGAACGTGAATAATTAAAAGATAAAAAAAATGAAAAATAGCTAATTACTTGATAAGAAAAGGTTACCTAATGTGTCACTGTTTTTCATTTTTATCTTTTCTTTAGTCTGTTGTGTTCCTTTCTAGACAGCTTTTTGGTTGTTGTTAAAGCCAATTTAATGGCATCAACGCTCATCTAAATAATAACAGCTAGCCACATTTAAGGGACCAAATGGATTCATTGTAATAAATTAAAGCTGTATCGATTTAATTTCTACTCCAAATTAAACTACCATCAACAACCGTTTAGCTTAGCATTTTAGATTACTATTCTTTTTAATCAATATAAAAACAAATGTATTTTACCTAGAGTCTCATAGTAACATAATTAAAATCTAATTTACAATGGTTTTGATCAAATTATAGATTAATGCGAGCGAAGGAGAAAATTAGTTGAATGATTGATTTGACAGTTGCTGCTTGATAAAGTGTATACTTTTATCAAGTGTCAAGATCACTTATATAATTTTTTATTAATAAATAAATGTAAATCTTAGCATTCGATAGTAGAAGAGTCTGTCTATTTATTCCAACCGTTTCATATTTCCTCCGTTTCAAAAATAATGATCTGCTTAGAATTATCACGGAGTTTAAGTAAATAAAGAAGATTTTTAAATCTTGTGATTCTAGATTAAAGTTATGTCAAATGTACAAAATTGTATTTTAATCTTGTGGCATTAAACATATCACATGAAAAACTAAAATTAAAATATTATCAAAAAAGAAAAAAATCATTTTTATTTAAACAAACTAAAAAAGAAAGGAAGTCTTTTTTTTAAAAAACGGAAATAGTAATATATTTTGCTTGGACATATTCATTAAATAAAATTAAGTATTTTTATTAATTTCCCTCAATCAAGTGTCTTTAAAAAAAAGAGCATCTCTTTAAAAATGCTAGTACTATTTAAATA